CCCGCTTTAAATACGACTGTTAATATATGTACGTACACAATAATTATACAGCTTTCAGTGAGCTTTTGTTTTTTGACCCATCGTGTGACGAAATGAACATGGTACAACGGACCGTTTTGTATCTGTCTGAATTAACATTAGTTCCGTGTTGTACAACGTCCAAACATTCTTCAAATGTTACCGATTAAATATTAATCTTTTTCGAGTTCAACTCAATGGTTGTTTTCATGCTCCCGTCTGTTTTCCCCGTCTCCGTCTTCTCCGAAAAAAAAAAAATTTTCGGGGGCGAGGCGGAGAAAACAGATGGGGGCACCTAAATATTAATATTGTTCAACAAAACAGGTTCGTACTATTGAAGCTCCATAGCCGTCGTGTTACAATTTCACACAAGCGTGGCATTGGACTCGCATCGAACACGGCGCGGCGAGACGCACATGATCGTCGTAGAGAAATTCATTGTCACAACGCATGCGCAGTAATGGCGTTTCTTGGACGTTAACTCGTCGACCAGTGGCCTATATCTTACCTGTATTTGTCATTGCTTTAACCAACTCGTCTTTTATTAGGGTTAATATTTGAATTGCTCCCTCTTCGCCCTGGCAATAATGAGATACCTATTAATCTATGTGACAAGTGTACATTATATGTGAAGCACTTCTGGACCAACCACCTTTGATTGTTAAACCACGTGACAATGTGGTTCAAATACCATTATATATTATATACACATTCATGAACATCATTAAATAATATCGGGTCGATATATATTATGAACCGACATATTAGAATTAAAAATAACATTACAATTCAATCTCCTCGCTTCGAACACCAACAAAGTAAATCATCACAAACAATCTCAGAATTCTCGAAAAGACGAAGAAACAAAAGTACCGCTGAGTGGATACTAGAAAACGTATCTTAGAAACATGTCTTAGAGTAAAAGCCGCGCGAGTCATAATTGGTTGATTGCGTACACAATAACATTTAGCAACCAATCGGATCGTTCGATACTACTGAGCTCATGAACGAACAAACATCTCATACCATGCCGTTCATCACACAGTCACTTGGGGGCTGAAAATCAATAAATACTAATTTTCAAAAAAAATCATCCGCTATACGTTATAAATAAATAAGTTGTGAAACACGGCACCTAGTAAATCGACACCCTGTCGGTTTCAAATGTCGATTTCTTACCTTAAAATGCGAAACAAAAAATTTAGAGGGGATCAGGTGTTACGTTAATAACCATTGTTCATAATCGCTAACTTGGTTTTATTCAAAACTGCACAAATCCCGCGTTTTCTGATGATATCCGACGATTTCATGAACGAAAATGGCCAGCAGCCAGAATCAAGGGGGATTCGATGCACATACCTTATAACTCAGTCCATAAAGAACAGGA